GCATCCTGAGAGTAGCATGTAGTCATGTTGTTGCATGACACGCATCACCTGATTATCATGTTTGCACCAGTCACATACATTCGTCATCCATTCACGTCCCGTAATACCAAACTTGGTATAAGTGACGCTAGTAAAACGGCTGGGAGCGCATCATGAGCGTGGCATGTAGTCATGTTGTTACATGACACGCGCCTGCACTGACGATTATCATGTTTGCGCCTGTCACATATACCTTTCTCATTCATTCACGTTTCGTAATACCACATTTGGTAGATGCGAAGCTAGCGAAGCGGCCACGAGCGTCACCATGAGCGTGGCGTGCAGTCATGACTAGTCATAGCATGAAAATCATGACATGCTTGTCATGATTTCCACGTTCAGGGTCCGTCACCTATGATTGCTTACTGCAGTCATGTCCTACCATGGCAGTTTTGCAACATGCGAACGAAATCCACCACAATAGCTAGCAAGACCATGAAACGTGAATCATGACATTCATGACATACATGTCATGATTTTCATGTTATGACTAGTCATTTATGCTCGTTGTGCAGTGATGTCATACCAAGTTTGGTGTCTATACCGTTATTGAAACGGCCAGGAGAGCTAAAAGTCGTAGGCGGACAGATAGATAGATAGATAGATAGATAGATAGATAGATAGATAGATAGATAGATAGATAGATAGATAGATAGATAGACTGAAAGTCACCGAAGTTCGCTAAGAAATGCTTCGCATTTAAAAAAAAAGCACAGCGAAACTGTGAGGACCGTCAATCAGATCGGAGCTCAAATAAATTAGCAGTGTATCGTAATTTGTCCCTTTACAGATCGCACCAGCACTTCTAGGCGTGTCAGGTGATTCCCTCCGCATCCCCATTCCCACATGTGCGTTAACAGTTCATGTGCACGCACATATGGCGAGCAATATTACTGTTGAGTGGCGCGTTCCAGTCGTCGCTACATGTTCACGCGTTTTTTAAAAAACAAAATATGTGAACATACTTATGTTACGAGGAAAGTATTTCACGCTATGTTAGCAGCTTTCCTTTCGCGACACTACTTCCATCTTCCACATGGTGTCAGATGTCTCTTGGTCGCAATATTACGGTGTAAATTAGACACGAGAGTGCCACCTGAGGCATCGATTCGTGATTTGCTTGCCCGTATTATCAGGTCATACCGCTTCTTTAAAGTAATGCGCTTCAAAACGAAGAAAGCACGCATTGTGTCCACAACAAAAGCGCGTGGTGGCAAAAGCGCAAGAAATGTGATGTTCTAGCAGACGACACAACCCGGCATTCTATGAGTGACGTCACCACATAGGTGGCGCCATGGTGTGTCCTCGAGGCTAATACTATCTGGCCAATATCAATGAATGTCGTGGCATTTCAAGAGAGAGAGAGAGAGAGAGAGAGAGAGAGAGAGAGAGAGAGAGAGAAACGAGAAAAGAGGAAGGCAGGGAGGTTAACCAGATGCTAGTATCCGGTATGCTACCCTACACTGGGGTTGGGGAATAGGGGGTTGAAAGAGAAAGGGAGAGTTAAAAAAATAAATAAGAGAAAAACACCGACACACACGCACACACAAAATCAGTCCACTCAGAGGCGTTCCGACAGGCCAGTAGTTCGTAAGAAGCCCAGTAGCGCTTGCACGGCTTTCTTCTGTGACGATGAGTCATGACGATGGCGCAGTGTCCTTTCTTCTGACAGCGGCTGGTCATCTAACCTGTTTAGTTTATTAGAAAGGTGTTGTCTTTCCAGGTTGTATTTCGGGCAGTCACACAGTATATGTCGAATTGTTTCTTCATCTCCGCAGTGTGCACAGTCGGCGGTGTCGGCCATACCTATGCGGAACGCGTACGCACGGGTAAACGCGACTCCCAACCATAGTCTGCACAGAGCAGTATAGCGTCGCCTCGTCGAATTTTTGTTGGAAGCTGCATGCTTAACGTTGGATCAAGGGATCGTAATCTTGCATGCGTAAAGAGAGGCTCATTCCAAAGAGCCATGGAGCGTTGGCGAGCAAGCATGCGGAGCCTCCTAGCAGCGTCCGTTCTTGAGAGAGGTATTGACTGGTCGTTGTCTTCTGTATGGGCTGAACGGGCTGCTTGATCAGCTCGTTCGTTACCGATAATTCCACAGTGGTTTGGCAACCACTGAAATATAACGTGGTGCCCTTTCTCTGTTATGTGGTGTAGCATTTCTGCTGTTTCAAATACCAACTGCTCGTGTGGACCACGGCGTAGATTTGACAGAAGTGACTGCAGTGCCGCCTTGCAGTCGCAAAAAATCGTCCACCGTTGCGTGCTTTGGTCGTTAATGAAACGCAGCCCAGCGCGAAGCGCTGCGATTTCAAACAATCAAAGCATTTCAAACAATCCAAAGCACTTACCAGAATATATCTTGTGTGACGCACGTATACTCACAGTAACGGATGAGTGGACAGTACCTTTTTTATGTTGAAGGCATAACTGGCTGAAACGGCCGGGCCCAAACCTTCCGCGCTAGGTCCTGCTAGAGGCCGTACCAAAAAAAAAAAAAAAAAAAAAAACACATCCCGGGTTGGGCTTGGGTGGGCCGTAGCATGAAATTTTCGGGCCGGGCCGGTCACGGGCCGGAAAAATCGGCCCGTGCAGTGTTATAGGCTGAAGCGTCATGTTTTGCTGCTAGCGCAAACATAAGTGCAACCTTTATTATGAAACACTACCCCCTCCCCCTGTAAACCCCCCCCCCCCCCCACACACACACACAAAAGCCAAATATTTTTCAGGCCCCTGTGACCCCCCGGCGCGTGCCAAGGAACTGCTCGTGTAATAAGCGGCCTGCTCGTCATCAGAAGAATGCATCAAGGTTTAGTATCGCGCGACGAAAAAAACTACCCAATCGGCAGGACGATGCAGTCGCTCAGAAACTCGCGCTTCTATGAGAAATCTGGGTTACGAGACGGAATCAATTTGGCAAAGCTAAATCGGCGCTGAAAGCCTGAACTGCCCCCCCCCCCCCCATCATCCCCCCCCCTTCTGCCGAAGTTGGCAGTAGCAGACGACACGCGGCCTCGAGTTGTTGTTTTGGTCAACCATCGTGGCTACTATTGGTCGCACACCGCATCACGTGGGCACCTTTCTCGCTGCCATTGGCTAATTCAAACATGTCAGAGCCTCGACCGTTTTTATTTCGTGCTAATACTAGTGACGAGTGCGAAAGCAGACGACGCGGATTTTTTTTTTTGAAGAAGCAGCGCTTGTTGTCATAGGTGCCACCGAAAGCATTCCGAAAGGCACGGGCCGAGCGAAATGAAACGAACAAATTACCATAAATGTGCAGGTTTGATAGTTATTCGATGGGAAGCCCACGTGCCTTTTCAGTGCGAAAAACGCGAAGCTGACAGGTCTGGGACGCGCTGTTGGCGGTCTCGATCAGCTTTCCAGAGCGAAGGGTTTGTGTTGGCGGCACTGCTTACATTTCGTGGGTTTCCTTTTTTTTCGTTTTTGTGCACCCCGTCTGGTAGGAGAGGGGAGGGGGGAGGTCTCCTCGCGACTAGGTCAACACGTGATAGTCCGGCGCGACCCGGGCGGTTGCCATGGCGACGGCGTGCCGAGGACTGGTCGCGTCAAAGTGAGCAGACGACGCGACGGCAGCTGAAGGCGAGGTCAAAGGTCTGTACTCACCGGAACGTTGTAAACAAAGAAACCGAGGCGGTATAACCTTTCTTTGCTAAACCTGTTTACGTCTAAGATCTGTGCAAACGACACGCTGAACCGCAAAGCTGCAATCAAGCGACGTCGGATTAACCAGGATATGACCCCACCAAATGCGAACAGCACGCGAGGTGAAAAAAAAAAAGTACAAGAAAGTGTGCAGAGTTTTATATTTTTTTCTGCCTCCGTTGTACGTTGTTGGCGCATTACTGCAAGTGCGTACATGTCTAATAGAACCATGACATCGGTACAGCTTACAGCCGAATCTGCTTTGAAACATGTTAGATGCTTGTGGCTTTTAAAAAATGTCTTGCTTAAATGCATTGTACTTTCATGACTCGTGCGGGGCTGCAGACAACGCGCTCATGCTGTCTCAAATGATCGAGTGAATGAATGAATGAATGAATGAATGAAAAGAAATATTGAATAACGAACAAATAAATATACTTGTTTAACGACTAATAGATGTGCCAAGCTCGCGAATGTACGGTTGTAATGATAAATGCGGCGACCTTGCATCACGAACAGCCCGCCTATTTGATATTTGGTATATGCAGGGATCGCGATGATCTAGCCGATATTCGCATTCATTAATAAAATCGAATACTAAATGGCACGGCATTGCAAGCTTTCACCTGCAGGTGCCATAAAACTCCCTAAATTTGCAAAGTTCCCGACCAGCTGTGCCAAAGCATGTGAACAATTGTCCCTGATGACGAAGTGCACCCTAAGTATGAAAAAAGAGGAGATGATTCTTGTCGTTAAATTGGACGGCGCTAATTATTGGTCATGTACTGAATTGACGTGAAGAAATTTATCGTACGTATTGTGAGCTATTTTGAATTAATGCATGCACTGATGCTGGAAGCTCAATAAACATTTTTTTTTCTTTAACAGCATGCGCTAGTCGGGTGTTTGCACTTTGCAAATCTAAGAGTAGTATAATAATTGTTGACGTTGAACGTTCCAAGAGCACAAATTGATTATGCGTAAGAGGTTAAAGCAAAGTTTAGTAGAGGGTTCCTGAAATATAGACGTGATGCCGGGATTCTTTACCATGCGCAGAGATTCGTAAATATTGTAGGAAAAGCTATGTTAACGAGCACCTAATTTAAACTACACACACGGACCTCAAGCATTCCATCGAAATCGCGTCGAATCTAAGGGCAGTTATCGTTTACGATACTTGACGGGCCAAAACCGAGCATAAAAACCGAAGCTACCGCTTATTGTCGCGGCCAGTCCCATCATCATCGAATTCGGCGTCGACCAATTCAACCAAGTCAAGACAAGTCAATCCCAGTCGACCTTGACTTTTGCGTGAGCTGTGCAGACGATCGTGCTGCAGCCGGCGCAGTGCGTTGTTGAAACGTGTTAGCGTTAATTACCGATGCGTTGTTCGGCGTATTTCGAAACTAGAAAGGCCCGATCTCGGTCTTCCATCCCTTCAATGTGAGGTAGCCGTCTTCACGGACTTCAGCTGTGGTGGTGGTGGCCACGCCATGCGTTTGCCTAGCTTCAATCGGCTGCTGCAGATCTCCGGTTTGGTCGGAATCGGTCTGGTGGGCAGCACTTTCTGGTTCAAGAATTACCTGGCCAACAAGATGACTGAGTTGGAGTACTACAAGATTGCCATGTCCACGCTGCAGGGAAATGCTGCGGCCATGAGACTTCTCGGGGAACCGCTCAAAGAACGTCGCATCGACATCAGCGACACGGACGGCACCAAAACGAGACCGCACCGAGCTCAAATGAAAGTAATAGGCCCCTTTAATTAAGGCTGGCATGACTTGATTAGAAGCTTTAGAAGGACTTCTTGCTGGGTGAGCGGGCGCTTATCTGACGTAGGATATGGCGCGCACATAAACGAACGAACGAAGAAAAGGAATTTTAGGAGTACGTTTCTGTCTTTGATACAATCTTAATTCAAACCAACAGAGGGTGAAACCCGCGATGGTACAGGGGACGTTAATTGTACTGTTTTCTTCACTGTATTTTAATAATTATTGATATAATTAGGAAGAAAGTACGTAGAAAAGTAAGGTTGTCCTTTTGTTCGCCTTACTTCATTCGCAATTATTTGGAAATTACTGCAATAACAGTTAAAAAAACAGCACACGTAATGTCTCTTATACCTTCCTTGGCTTTATTATGCGTTGGTTTTCATTAAAGTTGTAGGAAACAAAGAATGAACAATTGTAGGGAAAGGAAACAATCTAAAAGAAGAGAACGGAAACTATCAACTGGTTTTACACGTTCTTAAGTCTGCATATACCAGTAAGTTTAAATGTCACATTGAAAAGGAAGGGGACAAAGGAAGAAGGCATGCAATACAGGATCAACTCACATGAAACAAAACCTGCGAAAAAATGTGCGTTATGTTGCATACAAATTGACAGGTCTGTCGCTTACACAGTCACCCCCATTTTCAGTAACGAAAAAGCTTTGCTGATTTAATGCTCTACTCTGGTTCTACCCGTGTACTCAGATTTGGGTGCACGTTAAAGAACCCCAGGTGGTCAAAATTTCCGGAGCCCTCCACTACGGCGTCTCTCATAATCATATGGTGGTTTTGGGACGTTAAACCCCACAAATCAATCAAATCTGGTTCTACTCTTTTTCAGTAACTTTTAGGGAAAGGTTTGCATGCTACGCTTGGTACTGCAAAGAGCGGGCACATTCCCTTCTTCTCAGTTTCAGAGTGACAAAGCACCGAGAATTGAGTGAGAAGGGAAGGATCCATAATCTGCGGCATCACCACTGCACCAAGTGGTTAGGACTATTGAACTCGTTTCACTCCATGAAATTCACGAGTGTGTCGAGGTGGTAGAGTGGCTACGGTGCTCGGGTGCTGATGGGAAGGTCACAGGCTCATCCCGGCCGTCGCGGTCGAATTCGATAAAAACCAAATGCTTGAAGCCTGCTTATTGTGCAATGTTAGTGCAAGCTAAGGAACACCTGAAGGTTTAACTTTACAGAGCCCTTCACTATGGGGTTCCTCTTAATCACATTGTGTTTGCGGAATGTAAAACTAAAAAATCATTAACTATTCTAAGTTGCATCAAAACTGTTAAATACGGCATTTATCGTGCAACACTGCACTCATAAACTAATTGCACTCAGCAAAGCTATTGTGTGCAATTAGTTGACAAACTGCTAATTTAGTGCATAATTATAGTTTGTCAAAGCATTGTTTTTTTTCACGATGCACACTGAAAAAATGTGAGCTTATTTGTAATCAGAAGTGAAAACAAGAGCAGCAGTTTGGGCATAGATTGAAATTTCAATGATCGATTTTCAAGCCAGTTGGACATATTGGTTAGCTCTGGTTTTAGTTGACATTGAAACTGAGCGCCTGATTGTGGTGTTAGAAAAACTAAAGAACTAATTGATTTTTAACTTGTCAATAAACTACCATTTCATAATTTCGAAAACACTACTCTTACCGCGAGATGATGATTGGTAACCGACAAATCACTCGTAAAGAAAATGCAGGGGGAGACGCCACCATCCGATTCCGGGAAGTCACACCACCCAACACCGGGACGTCATACATTTTGAAGGTGTCTACCGGGTCCTAGGTAGCTTGTACTTCATAAAAATGAAGTAAATGGTCATTCGTGGGTGCCATAGACCAAGCATACAATGTTTCAGAAAATCTTGTCAAGCCAATCTCAAGAAAATACAAAAAATATATTTTGAAAGTTTTTTTCATCATGCACGTAGATTTCAGCATGAAATCTAGAAATGAAGCTTCAACTATGATTTTATCTGCAAATAATGAACTTATCATTGTGAAACATATGGCATTACAGTTCTCATACAGTTTGTCAATCGAAACCAAGTCAGTGTTTCGATTTAGTGTCCATTCAAATAAATTCATGCTGGGTGAATTACACAGGTACTGCAGAGGGCATGCAGAGAAGGGCGTTGTGGGATGAAAGCACGAAATTCACTTGTGTTATTGGAAACGAATAAATTGTGCTGACATGAGGTAATTGTTATTCATTGAGCAGCCCTTCATCATGCAGCAGACATAAACATACATTATGATCATGATTACTTTCTTCATTGTAGATAAAATTTTTCTTATTGTCATGTGTGCCAGCTCTTACTATTAAATGTTACTTGCCATCGGCACAAAGCCCACTTTTCTGAAGTTGCGAACCTGGGGACGACTTTAATTAGCCGAACCAGTTTCAAAACTCTTGCTTCTCATCACTAGCATACTTACTCAATAATATGTACACTTTTTTTTTTTTTGAAACCATCACAAGGTGTGGCCCTCGCATGAATAAGGCTTACGACTGTCTGATGAAACTACAAATGATGTCCTAAAATAATGTACAAATGCTTGATAGACGTTCAAAACATATGCACAAACATAGTAATGCAAACATTTAATACTATCACAGACTTATTCAAGAATTGGCACTTCTGATCTAGTTCGGCTTTGTTCCCACAGCTTTCTGCCCAAACACGTGCCCAAGGATTGTCGTTGCAAGAAAATGGGCATAGATCTTTCATGAGACGTCTTGGTTTAAGATTTCTTTAACCCCACCTGGGGAGACAAAAGTGCATGTCTAGACGAGTGAACACAGTACCCTTCACATAGTGCTCCCAAGGTATGCGATGCAGGGATCACTTCATTTGGCTACACATAAGTTCCTGGCAGCCATACATTAAGTATGACTGCCAGGAACTCGTGTGCCAAGAGATGAACATCAGATGAAAAAACTCCATTTCTAGCAGGCTTATTGAACAAGACATATTTCCAGCTGGAAAGACTTTCACTTGGATCCCCCCCCCCCCCCAGCAGCTGAAGAAAATCTGAGTGTGCCCTTGGCCATACTACGTCCTATGCCTTTGGTTTCTTCTAGTGCGGTATACCATTTTGTGGTGAAAACACAGCTATAATTCAAGAACACTTCTGGTGGTCAAGTGCCTTCATTAATCTCTTCATCTTCTTACACACAACTCTGCGCTTCTTTGCGACTCAAGGTGCCAATCCAAGGCTCCAAGCAGCGGGGCGAGCTCTACCTGTGGGCGGAACGACATGCACTGGATGTGCCTTGGGAGCTGCTCCGGCTTGAACTTGGCTTGGAAGCGCACAGGGACAAGCGGCTTCTAGTCTACTACAATCCAAAGTATGCCAAGGACTATGTGAAAGACTTTGACGTTGACACGATGCCCTTGGTCGCTTCGACAGAGTCCACTCAACCACGCAGTGTGCCCTCGAGCTAACCCACACTTCACGTGGTAGTTTGTCCAGGCTGATATGGATTTTGAGCTCATCTGTCTAGGCTTGTACTGACCGAGTGACGAACCGTCTTGGCATGTTTGTGGTGTCCCTGAGGCACAAGCTATACATAACCTTTAGAGATGAACTTCCAACTTTTTATGTGGTGATTGGTGCAGGAGTCGAACATTGCAGTGCGCATTGCAGTGGGTTCTTGCCTGATATCGCATCTATTCATTTTGCTTACAATAAATCATAAGTGTATGTATGTGTTTCATGGTAATCTGTTGTCACAACTACGGCATCAAGTGCTTCATGCTGTCCTTCATGCCTCAGCACAAAGTACAGCTGAAGCGACAAATGGTGCTGCCATTATAAACTGGCTTCGATGCACACATTTAATTTTGAGGTGTTTCCAACAGTGACCACAAGAAGTTGCACCTATCTATTGAATAATAATAATAATAAAAAGCACTTTACAATTAAGCATCCTACAAACAGTCTTTGCGAGCTCTCTATTTTGCAAATTTGCAATTTGGTAAAAGATTCTCCCAATGGTTTCGTGATGCACGTCATACCTTAGCAACAATGCAAGAAACACAAACAAAAATTATTAAAGCGCCGTCCATTGCATTTTCTTGTCAGCGCATCTTCTACTGTCGTTAGCATTTAACCTGTAATTACATGTTAGCTGCTCTTTTGTAATACTGCTGTGTTACTTTTTCATGCGCTTTGTTTTTGCCGAAATCCTGCTTACTGGCACAAATTCTCATGCCTTGTAATTTATCCCAGATGTTTTATTGGTTTATGAATATTCGTCAGTGCATACATATTTTATTACCTGTTGGCTATTTCTATTCGTTCATTGCATCTATTGTAATGCAATGTCATATTTACTATATGATACTACGTTGTTCCCTTTTAGTACTTTTTTCTCTTTTCATATTTAGGCTGTCATTGGAGCTGCCTTTGTGATTCTATACAACAAAGTCTTAGCAATTGTTCTACATCCCCCCCCCCTTACGTAATGGGTCCAAAGGATTGTGAGATGTTAATGTAAAAAATGAAGATAAAATTTATGGTGAAAAAAATTATAGGTAGACAGAAATTGATGTTCTGTATACCCAAAATATGAAACAAGTGCCAAAGGGGATAAGTTAAAAAGGGTCATGTATTGCTTGTTCCTGTGGCACTGCTGCATATTGAAGTTGAGTGTCAAAATAAATTATATACAGATGTTTCTCAGAATAAAGTCACCATATAAACAGCACCTGCAAAAAAATTTTTTTGCCGGCATCTATAGACTATTTTACCTCAGGACATATAGGTGCAGAAATTGTAGGCGGTTAAGTCAATGTTTCCTTGTTTTTGTATATTGCAATGTGTGTGAGTTAATAAGGCCATGAAACATCGTGTGCACCAATTCAACCGTTTCCATGTGTATGCATCCACTGTAACGCTGTTCGTTTAGTTGTTAAAGATGCAAAACAAAAGTATAAAAGCCCAGCATGGAGGCATGGAAACTCCCCTGTAAAATAGTCTAAATGTTTCAAACAATGGTGGTGAGTACTCTAAAGCAAGCAATTAACATTAGGGAAGTGTGCACAGCCTGTGCTGGACAAAGGAGCAGCATATTTTTTTGTCTCACTTTTTTGTTTCCGATTCACTCGTGACTGCTGCTGTCTAGCTACTCGCGTAGTGTCGCACTCCACGACAGCAGGCCACTCAGTGTGTGGAACTCGGGTATTTTTGTACAATACCGAAATGTGAAAACACTCTTGCACTTTTACAATGTCACAAATGCCATAGTGCTACTATGCTTGCTGGAATCACTTCTTTGCCTTAACTGCCTCAGCGAGATAGAGGCCTATTTAGCAATAGATGTGCTTGACTTTCCATTTTTTATGTAGAAATGCCCCGTAACCCAAATGCAAAAATTGCTACACAATTTCATCAAGTCGCATCTATTAGTAGTAAGTAAGCATCGTTGGTTGTTGAGGCGTGTTGGACTGCGTGTGCACACTGCAAATGATGAAATTTAGTTCTTTTTATGTTTGCATCAATAGGATTAAGGACACTCAAATGGCCAGCTCAGATGGGTAAATAATTGTAAAACTCTGTTACAGCAGTGCACTTAGTGGCAAGACTATTCTGGTTTCAGAAATAGATCACAACAAGATTTTTGTGGTTTATGCTTAAATTGCCGCGAGACATGTACTAGCGAAACTCATTGTGCACAAGTCTTGTGTCCTAGACTCCATTACACACAAGACTTGTGTGTAGCAGCAAATTAACAACTTTGACAGGTTGTAGTGCTGGTAGGCAACTCTGTTCTGTATAGGATTATGTAGTAAAGTGATTATCAGTATTTGAATGACATCAGTCCAACAAATGAATGTGACAAAGGTACAGTTCTTATAACAAAGCAGACCACTGTACGCCTCCTTTCTAAAGTTTGCAAGGCAATGTGCCTGCTAGTTCGATCTCGTCGACAGTCACATAGCTGACAGTAAGCACGATAGTACACCGCTGCATTATCTCCACGACTGGTCCGCCCTATTCGGATCAGCTGTTCTGCTGTCATTGCCACCATAGGGTTTCCTACAATACCTACTAGAGGCAATTCAGGCGCTAGTGACTATGGGAGCTGCAACGTACGGCGCTTCAGCCAGAGTGGAAGTGATCGGTAGTGCACAAATTTGCCGAGTCTTCGTTCTTCCACCTCCGTTTGGTTTCTTGGGGCTCGGATCCACTTTGTCGCAAGACGAAGTTCTGCAAAGGTTCAGCAGTTGCGCTTCACCACCTCTACCTTTCTAAGCTTTCCAGTTCAAATCGACTCCCGAAGTTCGCAAAGGTCCGTTATTTCATTTAAAACAAAACCAATAAAACCAAAACACAACAATGAACAAAGCCACAAGTGTGTTCAAAGCCGAAAGCACGAAAATTAGGCAAATTTGTGTACTGCCCGTGATTCCCATGGTGGCTCAATGATCGCAGTGCCAGAGTTTCATTACGGTTAACTTTAAGAAACTCTATTATTACCACACCAAAGTGGGCCGATCACAGATAAGGTAATTGTAAGTCACGTAGGTAATGTTCTCGCAGCCCCTTTTTTTTCGTAGAGCTGTCACATCGCAGGGTATTGCCACATGTATATTCAAAATTTATATCCCCATGCGGCTGCTCTAGCACAATGGCAATGTTTCTGCCTCCGTATAATTCTCTGCGCATTCAAGACATGAGATTTCTTCATTCACAGGGGAAAAAAAAAAAAAAGAAGGGCAATGTTATACAGCTTGAATCCGTGCTGAAGCCAGAGCACCCGTATGTCAGGGTTGCTATGTAGGCCGTTTTTTTGTCCTTGGGTTATGAAGTTCTTGAAGTGTGCCACATTCTATTTTCAAATAATTTATAAAACAGTTTTTTCAGTAAGATATTGGGGTATCCTCAGCAATGACATAAGATGGCAGGCATTACTATAACATTGAATTTTGATACAAGATTTTCAGCAGGAGCAATAGCAATCAATAAAAGATTCCAAAAAGTATTGCAGCATGACAACCAGGCACAGTGTCACATTTGTGAAGCTCACGCCCCACACGTCAGCACGCGTGCATTGGCGCAATGGATGCAGCCGCCAAGCAGTGAATTCCTCAAACGTAGGCAACAGACGCATGCACCCACAATATAATATCGCCACAGAGAGAAAAAAACACAAAGCCTTAAATATGTAACAAACAAAATTGACATTCTGTTCTCACGGTCCGATGTTTGGATCCTACTGAAACTCATTGAAATTCTTTCATCTTCTTTTGTTCTTTTTTTGTATTTACTGCAACAAAGGTTTTGCAGCTTCTTTTCTGTGACCCAGCCTGCGTTTGTGCCTTGGTGTTTTCGTTCTGAACCATGACATCGCATCGCCGACCTACAATAACCTTCCATTAACCAATTCACCCAGAAGTGTAGAATTCTCTGGTACTGAGCATCTTTTTGTTTATTCATTTTTTCACAGTAGAAGGCCCTGCTATTGCGGACCCATGACGTGTGCATGATTTTATGGTGCCTGTTCCTTGTAACAAAGCCTCTAAAAGGCACTAAAGAAATTAACTAGGCTCAATTATATGACACCAACATTTACGATGTGCATGACATAATAGACCGAGCCGGACAAAATCATGAGCTAATGCGAAATCTCCAAGTGTAGTCACCACCGTAACTTTTTTTTTTATCTTACAACAACTCCTCAAGTCAAGAATGACAGTTTACACCGGAAGAGAAGTTCTGCAACTCTCTTTGTCTGGGGAATACTGCCACGCTGAAGACATTGTAAATATAGTAATGCAACAATGTCACATGTGGAGAAGTGCCGTATTCGATTTGCAACTTCGCAATCCGTGGCTGCAGTATAGAGTTTGCCTTCATGTACTGTTCATTTTCAATAAGTGGAAACTTAGATGGTTTTCTGCACCGCTAATCGGAAATCTGTGCTTCTGATTAGCGTGACTGCCAACTCCTGGTCAGCTAGAAGTTTTACAGAGTTGTAGTACTGAAAGGTGGATGTGCGTATCATTATCAGCAGACGTTCAGAAACAACATGGCTTGTTAACGCAACGTTGCAACTTCATTTAATGTGTGAATGTAATGTTTAAGAAATAATGAACACATACTGAAAGAATGCTCATCTTCCTCTGTCTCTGTTTTCTTTTGTGTATATTAATTTTTTTGCACTCTATTTAGTAATAACAATTGTAGACCAACTAGCCCATCAGATTGTCTTCCTCATTAACATGCAATGAAATAATCGGTTAATAAAAAAAGACAAGAGTAGTGCTCAGGCTAGAAAAAGCGTCAACCCGGGGAGACACATTTGATCACATTCGTTTTTATTTAATTAGTTACTGAACCTAACTTGCACAACAAATTCACGAACACAACCTTCGCACGTTCACGCTCTCACACACCACTGACGTAACCCACTCGACACCAACAGTCCACCACGCAGAATCACACGTATGTACAAAAAAGCACGCATGCCGTTGCTGAAGAGCACGCTGGCCGCACGAATCCACTCGCGTCGCAAACAGTCCTATAGTTGCACGACGCCACCCGGGCGTCATTCCAATGCCCTGTTCACCACAGCTTCGGAGGTCTCTTTGGAAATCTGAAACAAAGAAAATTAAAACAATGAGCTTGTGCGAACATCACAACTTTTTTTTACTTGAAGTGAAGTCCAAGGCAAATGGTAATAAGCACTGGGTGATTTCAAAGCAAACTCAAACAATAGCAAGATTTGAAACATAGTGGGACGCAGAAGAAGAAAAGTTAGTTACGTTGGGTTTTATGGCGCAAAAGCAACAATGGCTATCGTGTGCACAGACACTAAGGTGATTTTCGATAATAGTGTTAAAATGTGAGGTGAAAAACAGATTTCTGTTTACAGTTTGTTTAAAAGACCTGCGGCCTCTAGAAACCGAAAAATATCCTGTATGGGAATAAGTGCATTTTCTGATAGTATTAACATTGGGTGTAGAGGTGTTTGTGTTCTGTAAAATCGTTTAAAATAAGCGTGTCTTCTTTTTCCAAAGACTGGGCATGTTATTAAAATATTATTGATAGTCAGAGGTTCCTTGCAATGTTCGCATTCTGGCTGATCTTCACCGTGCAGTAAAAAGTTGTGGGTGAGTATGACCTATCCGAAGACCGCATAGTGTTACTTCGATGAAGCGCTTTTGGTGATTGCACGACTTCCATTCTTGTAGAATAGGCTTGACAATTTGAAGTTTGTTATGCACTTGAGCCTGCAACTCTTCTTGCCATTTTGCTCCAAAGGCTGTCCGACAACTGTTGGAACAGTCTCTGATGGTGCCCTTACTTCTGCTATGCTTTGATGACCTGTCCTTGTTGCTATCCCTGTCTGCCTTTTCGTTTCCTGAGATACCAACATGGCTCGGCACCCATACAAGTCAGGATTGTCTTGCCATTTTTCTCAGCTCTTTCTAGCTTCTGTAAAATGTCCCCGAGAAACGGTTCGTTTTCCGACCTTAATTGTAGAGCTTTTAATGCGCTAAGTGAGTCAGTGGATATGACAGCTTTTTTGGATTTCTTGATAAAATTTCTTCGAGAGCAATCAAAAGAGCATATACTTCTGCTGTGAAGATAGATACAAATGGCGGCAGTCTTATACATGTTTCTGAGTGTTTTGACATGACAGCACTTCCTGTATATTCTTGCGCTTTTGACCCATCAGTGTAGTATTCAAAGTGTGGGTTATATTTTTCTTGTACGGCTAGGAAATCCTGGATAATTTGTTCCTGTGGAGTTTCCTTCTTCTTTAAATGAGCTAAAGAAAGGTCAGTGTAGTGTGAAAAGTCCAACCATGGAGCCAGTCTTTCCGGCATTCGGACAACGCCTAGTGCCTGATTTGGTACTTTGTAGTCTAGACATATTTCTTCAAGGCGCAGGAGAAGTGGTCTTATCGTGTGCGGTCTGTTGTTGTATTGTATTCTGGTACCGATGTGAGAGACAATAGTGTGACATATGTGGCTTGGTTTCGATCGGGTTCTTAATACATAGGATACAGTATGTAGCGCTCTTCTTTGTTCCAGGCAAGGCTCGTTGATCTCAGCATATAAGCTTTGGACAGGTGAAGTTCTATACGCTCCAGTCGCCAAGCGCAATCCATGATGATGTATAAGTCAAGACGTTTGAGGTAAGATTTTCTGGCTGAACCGTAAGTAACGCTGCCGTAGTCAAGTACCTATGCTGCGCACGATTGAGCGGTATATGCGTAAAAGGCAGACTCGATCGGCACCCCAGTGTTTCCACGATAGTATTTGCAGAATGTTGAGCATTTTGTTTGCTTTCTTTTTGTGTAATTCATGTGGGAAATGAAGTTTAGTTTCCCGTCAAAGACTAGGCCTAGGAACTGGTGTTCTGACTTGAGTGGCAGTACACTGTTGTTGATTTTAAGAACAGGGTCCGGATACAAGCCGCGCTTTTGTGAGAAAAGTAGGGTAACGGTTTTCTGGGTAGAAAAGCGAAAGCCGTTTTGATCTGCCCATTTGGTCAGTTTGTTGATGGTTAGCTGCAGCTGCCTTTCACATGTGGATATGCTTGAGGTTCGACATGCTATCTGAAGATCGTCAACATATAATGAGTGCATGATGGAGGGTGGGATTACTTCATTAACTGAATTCATTTTGACTACGAAGAGTGTAGTGCTTAACCCGCAACCCTGCGGCACACAATTCTCTCGGACAAAAACACGCGATAGTGTGGAGCCCAACCGTACCTGAAAGTTTGGTTTGATAGAAAGTCAGAGAGGCAGTTAAGCATTCTTCCGCGTATTCCGAGATTTGCCAGGTCTCTCAGTATACCGTACCTCCACGTAGTGTCGTAGTCCTCCTCCAGGTCAAAAAACACTGCTAGGCAGTGTTGCCTATGAAGAAGGCCTCACGTGCTGTGTGTTCGAGACGGACAAGATGATCGATCGTTGAATGGCCTTTCTTATACCCATACTGATGATCATCTAGTAGGTTGTCTATTTCAAGGGTGTATGTTAGCCTTATGTTTATTATGCTTTCGTATGATTTTGCCATACAGCTTGTAAGTGCTATGGGCCTATAGCTACCCGGTGAAGTGGGTGGTTTTCCAGTCTTTAGAAATGGCACTATGGTTGCCATTTTCCATTTTGTAGGCATTTTGCCAGTTTTCCAAATTACATTAAAGAACTTCAATAATGCTTGCACGGAAGCTTGAGACAGGTGCGCGAGCATTGTGTAATGAATTCTGTCTGGCCCGACTGCTGTCTTTTTTCCCGCCGAAAGCACAGTGCTCAACTCTTGGAGTGTCAAGGGAGCATTGTACGGCTCATTTAGGCCACCGGTTACTGGTAGTTCTTGTTTTTCGGTTGTCTGTTTGTATGCCACAAAGGATGGTGTGTAATTAGCGGAACTGTATATAGTGTAAAAGTGTCCGCCTAAAATGTTCGCCTGCTTTTCTAGTGATGCCTGTGTGCCTGGGTCTGTAAGTATGGGTATTGCGTATGATGAGTAGTCGCCGCTAAATTTTCTAACCTGGTTCCACATTTTCTTGTAAGTGGTTGTGCTATTGATTGTAGATATGTACTTCTGCCAGGACGATTTTTCTGCATCTCTACGAATATATTGTGCTTTTGTTTTAGCTTGTTTGAATGCGAGGAGGTTGTAACATGTGGGGTACCTAGGGAAGTTGCACCATGCTTTATTTTGTAGTTTTTTGGATTTTGTACACTCACTGGTCCACTATGGCTTTAGCTTTCTTCCCACTAGTCCTGAAGACTGGGGAATAGCTTGCTTTGCCGCAGACAGTATGCAGTTGGTGAACTTGTCATTTATTTCATCTACTGTTAGGTGTTCAGAGAGCTCATCCTGTAGATTAGCTCTCTGTGTAAACGAATGCCAGTTAGCTTTGTGAAGCTTCCAACGATTTGGTCGAGAGCGTATGGTCGGAAGTGGTGATGTTAGTTATACAATCGACGGTAGATGGTCACTACCGTAAGGGCTGTTTATTGTTTCCCATGTAAAATCAGCACAGTGAGCAAGAGCACTGTGCCAAATCCAAGCAACTCATGGTTCCTGTGCCTGGAGAGCAGTATGTTGGTGACCCAGTGTTTAAAACACACATTGTTCGTAATATAGTGAATAAGGAAGACGTTGATACCATCAGCTCAACTATCATCACCACAAGAAAAAGGCACGAGATCGACAATCGAGCACCGTCATCTGGGTCCACCTGCGTTCCCTTCGAGCTACCACCCGCTTGCTCAGTTCCTTCAATAAACCCCCTTTACATTTGGTGGATCGTGCTGGGTAACTACATCACCTACACCCTGGAACTCCGATCCTGCACCCTGCCGTCGACCATGCAAGTTGACGCTGCCCAACGGACAGCACCTCTCGCGGCCGCTACTTGCCCCGGTTCCCCAGCAAGACCCCCCGATCTTTTCGGGCGCCGAAGACCAGGACGTCGAGGACTGGCTGTAGTCCTACGAAAAAGTCAATGGACCAAACAGGTGGGATGACACTGCCAAGTTGAGCACTGTCAACTTTTACTTGGCTAATGTGGCAAAGCTGTGGTACACAAACCACGAATCCGTGTTCGAAAACTGAACCGCTTTCAAGCAGGCAATATCCTCGGTTTTCGGTCGCCCGGCCGTGCATAAGTTGCGCGCTGAACAACGCCTGCCTACACAGGCACAAGAACCTGGCGAAACGTTTACCGCCTATATCGAAGGTATACTCGATCTCTGCAGGCACGTCGATGCCGCAATGAGCGAAAGCGCCAAAATCCAGCACATTATGAAAGGTGTCGATGACGACGTATTTCAAATGCTCCTTGCGAAGTCTCCTGGTACGGTGTCTGAAGTTGTAACTTTCTGCCAGAGCTACGACGAATTGCGAGGGCAACAAGCTCTCACCCGTCGTCCATTTCAGCCTAATAGCTAATTACTCGCTGCACTGGACGCCGTGCCTGACCACTCCCGCCTTCTAGCACAAATGAAAGACTTTGTGCGTGAGGAGGTCGCACGTCAGCCTTCCCTCCTGCCGTTTTGTCAGCGCCAAGAGCTCCCGCAGCCGCAGCAAGACTGACCACCGACCCCGTTAGCTCCCATGTTCCGACATGTGCTTCAGGACCAGATTGCCGAGACTATGCCAGTGCCCTTTCAGCAGCAAGTTGTCGCTGCGCCTCTTACTTATGCTGACGCAGTAAAGAGGCAGCAGCCACACCAGCCCTCGCCGTTCAATGGACTGCCACATGTCACCGCTCCTACTCAGTCTTCTGTTGCACGGGCCCCTCCCTTCGCTACCACAGCCCCGACTCAGCCGTATGTCGCGTGGGCGGCGCCCCTCGCTGCAAATGCCTGGCGAGCGCGTGATAACCGGCCCATCTGTTTTGCATGCGGCGGCCTTGGCCATATCTCCCGATACTGCCGTCGTCGTGTGCCCGGCTACACAGACGCCCGATCACGGATCAACTACATGGACCGACCCCCTTTTGGGTGTGAAAGTTCGGATCATCAGTCAAGCATGCCTTCCCGTGACTATCCGGCAACTTCGTTTCGTCGTTCACCTTCACCCCATCGTCGCTCCTTGTCACCCATGCGTCCCCAACCAGCCCCTC